CAATTTATTGGCGAGGCCAATTGACATGAGCCAATGAGGTGGAACATAGTTTAAAAAGATCAGACACTGAAAAAAACTCCTTGGCATTCTTAGGCGAAAAAACTGTCGCTCTTGGGGGAGGGGGGACATCGCTGAGGTCACAGGGATCATCACCGAGGTGGGGAAGATGTGGCCAGATACTCCCTTGCTGATTGTAGAGTCCACCGACAAGATTGCAAAAACAGAAATATCCGTCCAGATCGTTGACAGTCCGCTACAGGTCGCACCAAGGGAGAACGTTGTAAATGATTATGCCCGAAAAATAGCGATATACTTAGTTTTACCCGAACCTTTTTAAAATCTGTCCAAGTTCGGCTTCATACGCACGTTGGCCTACAGCGTTCCAGTTTTGCGAATTCACTTCCAAACGGACCGTCTTAAGTTGACTGTGACAAACTGTGTTCTATGGCACGCGTATGCTGCGAATGGAAGGCAGAATTTCACGAGTGATGACGACTCGTCTATGTTGGCTACTGATCTCTTTTTTGATTAGCTCTGTCACAAGTTTCACCCTGACATGTACATGCAAAAATGCCTGATGAAGACACACCAGCCTGCCCGATCATGTGTTCTTCTTCGCTAACGTTACGTAGATCATAATTTTGTATTTTTTCTCTCTAATACTTATGTGCTGCTGTGCTTTCAGACACAAATATTCTGGCCACAGCAAGAACAAACAGAAAGCAATGGCCACCACCACTACTACTACCAGCAGCACCAGCAGCAGTTTCTCGCACCCATTGGCGGAAAGCGAAAATCTCTGTGAGGCCGATGAGCGTGCTAACGAGGCGGATGAAGATTCATGTGCGGAGGAGAACAAACACTACCAGGGCAGCCGGCCCGTTGACAGTGATCTCCAACTGTCCCAGACGCAGCAGCAGCAACAGAAACCCTCCTCTAAGCCTCGTTCGCACTTTCTCCACGCACGCAATAGGAGGCAGCAGCTGTCTGGTGATGTGCTCCTCCTCCGTGAAACTCCACCAGATGATTCAGCTGTTTTCAGCCGACAAGCAGTCGTCAAGCAACCACCTTCTGCTGGCCACGATGCCGACGTCGAGAGTGATTTCTACGACATGGAATCCAAAGGGGGCTATGATGTCGAAAAGAATGGCACCGCGGGAAATGGTTTACTCACAGGCGACGCAACCGATGATGTTTTGCCTGGTGTTGTCCTTCCCGTCCGAAAGACGATTAGGATAGTGAAGAAAAGGAAGCATCTTTCGTGCCAACCGCTGGAGACTATTAGTTGCCTTCGAAAACGCAGTAACTCTCTGAGTCCGGACTTTTGCTTTTCAAAATTAAACGCTGCAATGGAAGGAGCCTCTAAGACGGTGCTCTCGTTGAACGGTAGGCCTAAGCAGTTCTCCCTGTCACCGCCGCCGGAAGATGTGCTGAAATACTTTAAGGAGGCCAAATTTCGCGGTGTGCCCGATCCCGAGGTGTTTGCGGAGTACTTCGAGCAACCCAACCATTCACCGACAGAAGTGCTTGACCCGGACCACCAAAAGGTTAGTTGGATTACGATACAGGATGTCGCTGACCAATGAATGTTTTGGCTAAAAATATGTCTGTGGTGTCACTGACTGATGACAGCTACTCAACCAGAAATGGTCATTTATAGTACCTGTGCTCCTTTGCTCTTCTTCAGATTCTGTTATAATTTCTTCCTCTTCTTCCTTCATAATTTCTCGGGAGCTGGTTGACTGCAGTCACCAGACTCTTAGTCAGTTTAGAGACCCGTACCTGCACAATATGTTCCTTTGAACGTCATTGAATTTCTGACCGAACACAGTAAGGGACTGGTTTATGTTTTGAATCTGGTGCACCCTTTTCCACTGTTGGAAGTTCGTCGGGAAACTGGGGAAGTTCTGTTCAACAGTTGGGCGTGTTATGTCGTGCAGAACGTGTTGTCTTATGAAGAAGCTCGTTAAAAGTTAGAACGTTGTGGAGGTAGGCGATCTTTTAGTATCAACCGGTCTGATCGTTTTATCGAAAAAACTAATCATTGCGGCGACGCCAGCTGAGGCCTAACATCTTTGGAGCATTTTGTAAAGTATACTTCGATTCGAACCATTTATTTTCTACTGAAGCGTCTCAGGGACGTTATTGCGTGCGCCAGCGCAATGAGGTGGTGAGGAAAAACCGGACGGAATCCGATGCTCCTAGCAGGACGCTCGAATGGATTAACATCTTATTCCGTCGTAGATTATGCCCTTCAGAAACATAATTTTTTAGACCATAGCCAAACTGTACAAGAGCCAGGATCGAAGCCCTTTGCACTGAAGATGCGGGCTCATGCATCGCATAAACGTTTAGAGTTGTTTATTGTCGACCAGATATATCCTTTAGTTGGTTTTGAGCTGGCCATAATTGTCACATTGTTTTCGTAGAAACAAGGGCATTTTGTGCCATTCTTGATGGGACGAGTTCCCATTAACTAAGGGGAACTGTGGTTTGATTGCCCGGGACGATTTCAATACCCTGTCGAAAAACGTTGGGGCTAATGTCTCTATGTCCGAGGTAATACAATATTTTGGTGCCCGACACCTCATTGCTTTCTGTGGCATGATCTGATAAGCAGGTGGGAATGCAACCGATGACACGGACGCGAAAATAGTTTAACTTTCAGGCGTGTGAGGTGTGGCTATTATATCCTTTCGCACAAAGCCAGCTTGACCATTTTCCATTTGATTCATCAGCGAAGGTACGAACTCGTAGACTTCCGCAGACGTCTTAGCATGATTTGAATTTCGTGTTTGGAGAACTTGTAAGTCACGGAGATTAAAGGGTTTGGTACAGATTGTTTTCTTCTTAGCCGTAGACTTGGCCCTTGGATTGGGCTTCAGTCCGCAATGCAACGTTAGTTTAAAAAAACTTAATTTAATGGCAACTAATGCTTGCCATATCACAGTGTCGCCATCACGCTGCGCAAAACTTTATAGGATAATTAGTCTTGCAGACCTTAGCCCTCCACTGCTGGTTCGCGATAGCATATTTCGGAGCTTTATTTGAAACAATTGGCTAATGAGCATTCTCTGTGTTTTGTATGGGGTCGGACATGGTCTGCCGTCTTGAGACACTGGGGAAACCCAGCAGGTTCTTGCGCTTTTTTTGGTAGTAATGTTGGTAATAATTATGGTTCCCGACAGATCACTTGTTTGGAGACCTAACAACTGCATCAAGTATGCGCGCCATCGACTGCAGGTATGATGTCTTGACACGTGAGCCCCGAGTTCTTCCTAAAAACGCCTACTGATTGGACATTTCAAAGTAAGGTATCAGGTACTATCTTTCAACGTTATCTTATTCTCTGCTGTTGATTACTTTACGTAGTTCACATTCAGGATTTTGATTGAAGACACAACAAGCCCGTCGGGCTTCTCTAAAAAATTCTTGTATCACACATATTTCATAGTATCATCGTTTACGCTCGAACATATTGGGAGTGCACAAATGGGAGAGCAGTGGAAAATGTATAGCGGCCACATAGATTCGAGCCCGTTCACGTACGAGTATAAAAAGAGTACACTAATTGACTGCTCCTAACTGACTCGGTGGGGAATGGAAATCGCAAAATCTGCAGCAGAGGTTGCTGATGGCTGTCCATGGCATTGGCCCTAGATAACTCGTATTTTCCGTTGCCACTCGAGGCTGTCAACTGCCCGATTTTTGTTTATGTCGATAAGCGTATTGTCGTTTGAACCCCATAGTTTCATTTATTGTGCGTTTATGTCTTCACTAGATTGGTCTTCTGATTTTCACACCTTCTACACTTGCCTTCTTGAAACCCATTTCAGAGACAGCCATCGGCCTGCACCAAACTGGTTAAGAAAACGGCTAACGCCTGTGAAATCCCGGAAGGCTCCAAACAATCCCGTGAAAAGCTGCAGCAGCTCCCGCTCAAGAAAGCCGAGTTTAGGTCCGAGAGATCTGTCAGGCAACATGCTGCTCTCCCGAAAGCTTTGATCAAGTTGGGTATGTATCAGCTTAGTGTCTGTTTAGTAGCCAAGCTTTTCCTCGTGGGGCACAAAAGAAACCCCCTTAATGCTAGCAATAGTACTTCGAATTTGCACGAAGGCAACTCGATTGGAACAGGCTCACTTTGCTATGCTTCAATATACGAATCCAACTCAAAAAAGGCAAATTTCCTCTAGGCTAACATTAACTGTATGTGAATGTCTGCAGGCACTGAATTCTTCACTTGGCGCCCTAACCCTCAGCTCTGCCTATTTTCGCGAAATCATCTAGAACTTTCTGTTCGTATTATCCAATCGATCTCGAGCTCCACGAATTTTGGTTTTTTACGCCTTTTCCTTGGCTGTCCAGTCGGGTGGTCTTTGTACACACTGATTAAGAGAGTGCTAATAGCATTTTACTTCTTCGCCCTGAATGTTTGCGACGCAGATCAGGATTTTAAAAAACCCCGTTTATTATCAATGGTTCGTCTTCATAAAAAGAAATCGACAAGAAGATTGCTCGCGCAATAATCGCAATAATCGCAACTGCAACCTATTACTCCTACCTGTTCTAATGGACTCATCAATAAGTATGGCAAAGTCTTTCCATCATTAAGTCACCGCATAACTACACCAGTAAATTGATTTCAAAACTTAGGCCGCTTCTTACCTTCTTCCTACGGAAACTCTGCCCACTAACCGTTTGTACGGTTGTCCCCTTGGAAATCGTATTTCGAAACTGACGTCTTTTTGCGGGCATCACTACAATAAGTAGAGATTGGGGGGTCATGCTGTTTGTAAGCTTTCCATCACTATGCTTCATAAGTCTGTTTTCCCCCGTTGATTCATCTATTTTAGAGTCGAACGACCAGCTCGTCGGTGCCGTAAAGGCAGACTATCAACCTGGCCGAACAGCGCTCCAAAAGTACGTCACTAGGTCGCTTTAGGTCTCTTTGCAAAGTAATCTAAAAATCTGCTTTCCCTGCCTATGAAGATTTTATTCGTGTGGTTCCCATTTTTCCACCTCGGACGACCGATCAGCTTGGCGTTTGGGGAGAGAGTGTGGTCGACCTTCAGCGCATTTCTTTCCTCACTAAAAACAATCTGATGCGCTTGAAGATATCACGGTGCGCTAAAAGCCGTGGCTTGGAGGGTTGTCAACTGACGGGATAACTTGGACACCGCAGTCAGCCCAGTGTGTATCTTGTTGAGTAGAGTGGCTTACTGCGGGCTGACAGTCAGGCTGAATGTCTCCTTCTTAATGTGGCTTTTATGGCGCCCCCAGGCGGGAGTCTACACAGCAAGGTGGTGTTGCTTTGGCACGTGTTGGAATGTTTCGCGCACACCGTCTGCGCCCTCCCCCATCTCCGATTTTCTCGCCTTTTGTCTTGATATCGGGTTTCGGTGTGGGAGGGGTCAGAGAATGGGTTGGATCCGGTGAGTTTACTCAGCTATAGTCACCGCGTCTTCCTTCAGATTGCTGAGGCTCGTGGTGGACATCGTCGAGAGCAGCGGTCGAACTGTCGGTTCCTATTAATTTTCTTCTCAGAGGACAGACACAACTGAGTTAACATAGAGTTCATTTTTATAAGCACCATTACTCATGCTTGTGACATGACTAGGACATCAAAAGCATAATACTATTTGACGCTGATTTACCTTAACTAATCTTTCAACGGGGCAGCTCCGTCCCAACTTTACCAGGAACATCAGTGAGTAGTACGTTTGTCGAACTCACAGACAAACGCAAACTCACAGACAAAGTAACCATTTCTCGTTATTCTGGTGAACTTCCACTCGAGTTTCTTGACGTCTTCCCAACGCCTCTGACCGTCCTCTGCCACCTTTGCTTGTGTTTCGTTTCCCCCTTATGTCAACATTGTAACTTAATTAATGGGTCGTTTTAATTTGTTGGGTCGTGAATTATAACAGCTAGCGGTGATAACCTTTTTTATTGGTACCTTAGCCAACCTTTATGTTAAATTCCACGTGGTATGTTTATGGTCATTACAGTTTTTAGGTTATGCAAGTTCCTCACAATTACATCTGGCTGAACTAGGCGAACTTGAGGAAGTTCTCCAATCAGAACGTGTTAGGCCTATTCCTGACTTAACGTAAACTTTTTCAATTCTACATTATCTGTCCGACGTTAACACTTACTTCTCCTCTATCTACTTAGGCATAGATTGTCTCCACATACTATAGAAACAGATATGAGAGAGCAACCCAGACATGCATTACACAAATTTGCCTCTACTACCTGTTGCACTTAGCCATTCCAAAAACCACAAGGGGACGGGTCTGGGCATCCCCATACAACAGCCGTAGGTAGAAAAAGTAAATATGTGCTTTGAGATGGTCAGTGGTGAGGCTGAGCATAACACACTGAAGTTCTGGCCAAAGACACATCTGGGCTTATAATTAGTACCCATGGTATCCGTATGACTGCCGGTTGGCAGCTTATTTCACAGAAGCCGATGGATGCCAACCCAAGTATTTTTACCAGTTGTCTCTGTGAGCCTAAAAGGATATTCGCGCCTAACCCAGTGCCTTTTATCGATCCCCTCCCCCATTCACACACCCCACTTGTATGGTAAGACAAACATTATTGATCACATGTTTTAACTTGCACTCCGTCCTCATATGAACGTGCTGACCCGACCGCCAACTGGTCTCCTGAATTAAAACGGTTATGCTTAGAAGATGGCCACCTGACTAGATAAATTGGTCCCTCAGACAGGTGTTCAGATCTCAGTGGTTCCTTAGTGTGACTCCTGCGGCGACTGTCATCGATTAAATAGGTCTTGGTTATTAATTTTATGGTTTGTGTGAAGTAAAGGGATAGTAGGTTTGTGGCACGTGGATGAGAGACTTATGCCAGGTTATCCACCGGCCCTGCGCCAATAGGCAGTCCCTCCAAGTGACCTGACACTGTCGATTGCCACGATGACTCCCTTCTTTCCTCCCAGTTTGTGTCTCCAACGTGCGTCTGTTGTTACTGGCAGGGAACCAAAGCCAAATGCTGGCAAACTTTGCCCTGTAAGTGCTATTTGAACACGGCGGGTTGGGCAACAGAGCGTGGTAGGTGCCGTGCAAGTCCGCTGCACTGAGAATGAACCGACCTCAAACTACCACTGCGACCTCGTCGCTTACCTTCTTTTTTGGAAACATCGATTTTGCGAAATTATAGTTCGGGCTTACCGCTACAGCGTCCGAGCCTCGGAATGTGTTCCTTTTTCTCAGCGACTCTTACCAACACCACTGCCTTGTGGTTAGGTTCTTGAGCCAAAGTGCTAGAGGAG